CAGAAGTCTACTTGGTTCAAAGTATTTACATGGCTTAAGATTGCTCTCAAAAGTCATTAGACCTAGGCCAGAAGAGCCAAGGAAATGAAAAGCCAATCTAATGAGTGACTTAGTGAGAAATGCATACTTCTGAAGGTAACTGAAGAACTAGGCAATTGTATGATACAGGAGCAAGGGCTCTGAGGTCACTTCTTTTAAGCTATGAAGTCATTGACTAAGCAACCACAAATAGGACCCAGCATCTCTAGGGGACTCAGACAAGAATCAATGCTCCACCTATAAACTCAAGAATGCTGAGAAGCAACCACCAAATTTACTTGAAATGATGTAGTTTTCTTAGGTGGGGGTGAGAAGAATCACTCAGTATCTGTAGCTCTGGGTCTCATACCCGAAGGAGATTTCTGGTAGTGATTTGCCTTGGTTACCTGGGATGGTTATTATCTTCTTTAGTGGATGTGTATTTTTTCAATCCTGGTTCATCAGTCAGGGGCTAGTCAAAAGACAAAGGCAGTATCAGTTATTTTAACAGAGAGGATTTAATATAAAGAATTATTTAGGAATTGGACAAATAAAATGGCAAAGAAGGGACCCAGAAGAATCACAGTGGTGGTAACAACACGAAGCAACTACCACCCTTAGAAGTGGGGAAACAAAAGAAGTGTTAGGGGTTATTGAAATTTTGAAAGTTAGAGGGAGGGGCCTAAGAGGGCTTCAGAATTCTAAGGAGGGGCCCCAGGCTGGACAGTGCTTGTAAGTCTAAGGGGAGATGTGGATGCTGGTTCTGGGAATGTGGATAAGCTGTAAACAGTAACTCAATACTGCTGCTGGACCCAGCTGTCTGTGCCAGGTGATATGGACAAAGACAGGGTGAGCCCAGCTCTTCTCCCTCCACCAGTCCCCCAGGCTCTCTCTCTAGCGCCCCCAAGTGGCAGAACCTACCAGGGACCCAGCTGACAAAGCAGCAATGTGGTTTGCAGAATCCCAACCACAGCCTCACAAAAAAAGGAAAAGGCTGGAAACTGAAAGACAAGAGCTCACCAACACTCCAGGAGTTTAGATTTAAGGGTAGAAATATTTAAAAGATACAAAACCGTAGCACTAATATCTTAGGAAGGAATATGTGCCTATTTGGTGTTTCAGAAGGTGATATTTAAGATAATAAAGCCCATTAGAGTAACAGTTTTACAACTCCACTTTAAAATGTATCATTGAGAATTAATTTAGATTTGTGACTTTTTTATGGTGACATCTAAGTTTAATTCGAGTATAAAAACATTTCAGAGGACTTAGATTTCTTTTTCAATTTATTAGCTTCCATAAGAGTTTAAAATTTGACACGATTTTGCTTGCTGTCAAAAAAAACCAAAGTACTTAATAAATAAAATAAATGTATTAAATGTCTAAATTTGTTTAAAAGTGTATGAAGTGCTGAGCGATGCTTGTAAATAAGAGCAAGCATTATTCAAAGACTCCTCAAAGTTATTGCTAAGATCTGCTAGACTTATAAAATAGAATAAAATTTGTAAGCTGAATTTCAAAGCATAAAAGTTTAAACTTTGCATCTGAAATGGATGATTCTAAAGACAAAATTATTAATTACTACTTATTAAACATTACTTTCTAAAAAACAAATTTTAACTTTTTTTTTTAAACACCGAATCTTTTTCTACAGAAGAAATTTACTGTCCAGGATACCAGAGTCCCCCACCCCAACTCCCTACGCCATTCTAGAAATGGTTACAGAAAAGTAACAGATGCAGCTTTGTTCTTCAGCTTTTCTAGAAACCCTGAAACATCTCTTACCTTGTAGCCAACTGAGGAGATTATGCAGCTGGCTTAGCTATTCTTCATTTTCTATCAGGCTAGGGTACCTCCTAGAATAGAAAGGGATACCACTGGACTTGGGGTGAACCTGGGGTCAAGTCCCAGCTCCATTGCTTAAGAGACCCAAGGCTCAATTTGCTCATCTCCAAAATGGGGGTGATACCTGCCTTGCAAGGTTGTTGTAAGGAATGGCATAGTACTCGGCCCTCATGCTAGATTCCTGAATGCAGAGAGGACTGGGGCAAGGAGGTTCTTGCCTGAGCTCGCTGGCCTGGGACACTCCCTCTTCTTGGCAGGAGAGCTTCTTCAAAGAGATGGCCCTATGGCAAACAACAGGTGCTCTCACTCTTCCTCAGGCAGGTGTCCCAGGTCCTCAAGCAATCAGACAAGGGGCAGGTCAAGACAAATCGCTGGCTCTGGGGCAAAACATCATCCCTGTAAATAGGGTTAACTCTGCAGGGAGGTGGCAGACATTGGCTGGAGCAAAGGGGAGGATTTGCAAGAAAGGCTCAGAGTTCTGCCTGTGTTCACTGGGTCACCTGGCCACACAACCTCATTTGGAACATGCTTGGAGAGAGCCATGTGGGGAAGATCCCTACCTGGACAAAAAGGAGAGAGTGTCCTTTCTGCACATACCTGGGAGGGACAGGGTGGAGATCAGAATTATGTCATCCCATTCACTTGTTCAATGAACATGACTTAGAAACTTCTCTGTATCATGAAGCGCTAGGCCTGCAGATACAAATCCTACACAGTCTTGCCTTCCTGGATTAAGCCCCTGAGAATGTGTAGAGGTTGAAGTGGCTGTTTCTATCTGGAGAAGTGGTGGGGAGAGCCCCCAGGGAGAGGGAACAGTGGGAGCCTGGCAGGGGGTGCGGGGATGGAAGGCAGCTTCCTGGCACGATGAACAGTCCTGATGAAGCTGTTGGTCTCCAACTCAGGGGAGTCAAAGAGCAGCCAATGAGGCTGGGAAGGTAAGTGGGGCCAGATTGTGAAGGATACTGAAGTCAAGTTCAGGTGTATGGATTTTATTGAAAGCCAAGAAAAAGTTTTAAGCACGGGTTGCATCTCAGATCAAATGGGAATGCACATAAGGGAGAGATGGAGTCTGCACACAAATACAGGAAGTACCAAGTTGTGCAAGACCAGACTGGAGATGGTAAGGGCCCGATAGAAGGCAATGGGGCAATTAGAGGTTGAGAGCCTGGGACTATGGAATCGTGGTCTCTGTGGGAATCTAGGCCATGGTGGGTGGAGGTCAGGCCATAAGCTCTCCAGGCCATGTCACCGGGTCTCCCCTGGACACTGAGACCAGCACTTGTATGCTGCAGTTTCATCTTCCCAGGCTCCCCAGTACACGCTATGGCAGGCCTTTCACCTGCTGGGAGAGAGATGTCAGCAGAGGAGGCAGCAAGGCAGTACCCACGGAAATCTCCAGTCCAGCTGAGAAGGAATGGAGATGATAGCAAGCATGCCAGAGAGGACACCAATGCAACTCTGGCCAGCGGAGGGGCTCAAGGACATTTAAGGACTTTCAGAAGAGCTTCAGCCAACTTACCCCTGCTCCTTAGTGTGAAGGCAGGGTCAGCCCCTGGGGTGCACACTTTTTGTCCATCTTGCTTTCCTACTCTCTTCCCATAAGATTCCACTGGGCAGGAGGACAAGGAGTTTTCCGAGCAGCTAAGCTGGTCTTTCGGGAGCTTGCAACCCACAAAGAGTAATCAGTAGAAGCAGCAAAAACTAAGGATTATGTGGCAATCATTATTCTGTGGGGCAGAATAATAACTCCCCCTCCCCCATCAAGGATGTCCACGTCGTAATCCACAGTACCTGTGTTGTATCCTACAAGGCAAAAGGGACTTTGCAGGTGTGATTAAAGACCTTGAGATGGGAGATAATCCTGGATTACCTGGATGGGCTCAACGTAATTGGCAAAGGTACTAGGGACGCAGAATATAGTTTGGAGAGATGCCACGTGAAAGGGACTCAACCCACCATTCACTGCTGGCTTTAAAATGGAGAAAGGTTATCAGCCAAGGAATGCAGGCAGCCTCTAGAAGCTGGCAGAGGTAAGGAAACAGATTATCCCTTAAAGCTTCCAGAAAGGAATGTGGCCCTGACACCACCTTGATTTCAGCCCAGTGAGACCCTTGTCAGACTTCCAGCTGACAAACTGTAATAATAAAGGTGTTGTCTTGAGCTGCTAAGTCTGTGGTAGTTATGGCAGTGACCGGAAACAAAGCAGATCGTAAGGCTGGCTCCTTGTCACGCAGGTCTTGGCTCAGTCGACGTGGAGAGACCTCCTTTGGCCATTCTGTCCATGGTCGTCCTTTCTTCACTCTTCAGTCACTGGCACTTTGCCATTTCATCCAGTGTTTGTGTTGCCTTGATTTCCAGCCTTCCCCACTAGACTGTAAGCTCCATGATAGCAGGCACCTTGATTATTTGTCCATCACCATATCCCTAGCACCAAGAAAAGTGCCTACACACAATGGAAGCTCCACAAATGTTTGGTGCGTAGATAGGGGGAAAAATGAATATGGCGGTGCACTGCTATGTCATGGGCACACTAATGACGTGAAACCTATTGAGGCAGAATGATCAGTGGTTATTTACCATAGTTATAACCTGCAAAGTCTCAACCAAAACATACACACTCTCCTTTGACACCCTACAGGATTGCTAATCAGTCAACCTCTTCAAAGGCTCTTATTAAGCCTTTGGAGATCTCAGACTATTGCTGCTATAGGCCTCCTAGAAGTATTTATGCAGAGTAAAATCTTACACATTTCCTCTGCCAAACAGAATCATAGGAGAATATATGAGATCGTCCATGAGTAAATATGGTAAGTGTTTCCTCTAGGTCAAATACTCTGGGAAGAAAGGCCAGGCTGGTTTTAGGAAAAGCGTTGGCTTCTCAGACTTTTCTCTGTATTTTCTAAGCTCCACAATCTGTTTCTACAGGAAACGAGCTGCCAATCCAGTTCAGGAGTGCAAACAAAACCCAGGGGAGATTGGCTGAGCTAAGGCTGCTGTCTGACTCTGGAGTGGAGGCAGTAGGAAAAGAGATGAGGAGGCAGAAGTGGGGGCGGGGAGTTGGAGGGAAGGATGCACCAAGATCTAATTTGACTGCTACACTTTCAAATTCAATCAAGACATCCTTGGGGCAACCAGCATGAGAAGAGGGTAACATGGACAAAATGTTGTTTATTGAATCCATTTTGGAAACAGACCACATGAAAGATTTCTGTGAGCTCACTCGGAGTTAAGAGTCATGATTGCTTCCTGTCATTAAACGTCAACCCTAAGACAATCCTAGCATAAATAATGAAAATGAATCTAGGAAAGAAAAAGTGGTTAAAAACACTTTGGCTATCACTCTTCCAGTAGCTCTCTGATAGCTAACATGCCCATAAACATCAATACAATTTTTAGGTACAGTTTATTTACTGTACATACATCAAATGTGTATATCAATGATAAAGTTGTAAACTGGCTAACCGTTATCAGCAATTAAGTACACTGGGTCTATACTGATAGTCCCATTCTCATTTTAAGAGCTTTTGTATTTAATTGATGACTCCGCTCCTCATCAGGGACATTTAAGACATGGAAAAGGCATTTATACACACACACACACACACACACACACACACACACACACACATCTATGACTAACCTTATAAACTGAAAAAGTAAACCCAAGCATGATTAATTACTTTGCCTGGATCAATAAATACTAGTCTCAAATGTTAAATGTACTAATCAGGACAGAAGCCATCAGTTACATAAATCATCATGTTGCTGCCTACTGATGTTCCATTTGCTAATGCATGTTAGCCAATTTGTAGACTTTTTCCAACATACAGAGATTATTTTTTGTTTGAAATTCTTAGAGCAGCAGATCGCCTTTGGACATTTCTCTCCCATCGCTCATAGGATGAAAATGAAATAACTCTTAAAATTTCTAAATTCCAAGCCATCAAGAGCACAATTCTGATCATATTTCAAATCTTCACCCAGAAGGGAAATGCCATCAAGAGTTAGGTGAGCTTAGAAGTTCTCATCACCATGACAGCTTAGACTGATCTTCACCTCCTCCCATCACCCTCTTGCCGTATTGGAAGCCAAGGTAGCTCCTCTCTTTGAGATTTCATAAACACCAGTAGGAAGGGTCAGAGGGGAGCCTTGTCTTTTTGCCTGGAGCTGTTATCAGTAAGACGGACAACTACAAAGAGGAGGATAGGGATGCAAGGTGGATAAAAGCTCCCAGAGCTGGAGGGAGCAGTGGAAGGATGTGGCACAGTACCAGGACCTGCTTCCCCCAAGTGCTTCATGTGCTAGAAATTCCAGGTGTTTCTTTTACCACAGGGAATAAACATCCTGTCCCTCCAAAAGGTCCTGCCCACATGTCTCCTCTCCATGCTTCCTGGAAAAATCCATTCCATTTTCCATGCTTCCTGGAAAAATCCTCTGCCCATGAGGCAAACTGGGTGTCCCCCTCCCAATGCAGCTTTTCCTAGAAACCATGAAATTTATAAATTTACACAGGCCATTGCAGATTCAAGTCCAGCTGCTTCCAGAGCTCTGTGACATAAGAGCCCTGCCTCCCACAGATCTTTATCCTGAACCACTTCCAGTCTCCTTTCCCAGGAGTTCTGCTTGTTTTTTTTTTTTAGTGTGAAGACTCACCCCATTGGAAATGAACAGTACAAGATCCTACGTGCAAAATTTGCAAACTTTTTTTTTTTGAAACGATACACATTTTAAAAATTCAAGTCAAATCCAGGTACAGGCTAGTTGGTTGGTATTAGTTGGCCCCTCACACCCACCATAGGAAAGCATGGTGAGAAAGTCTGTTTCTGAAATGAGAGAAAAGAGGCACCAGCTACTTATCCGGGGGTGAGTTTCTTGAGCTTGAGAGGAAGCCTGAGAGGGAAATGCTGAGGCTCAACGAAAGAGAGGGCAGCTTCAGCCTTGCAGCCTTCCTAGGCCAAAAGCCAAAGGCCTCTGTGCAGGCAGCACATAGGATCAGGATGTAGGTGAGGATAGATCCTCACCCACCAGAGGGGTAACCGTTTCCCAGAAATTCTGAAACTAACATAAGGAAGGCACATTCCCAGACCACGCTGGGTAATGGCTGCAGGCTATTTTCACTCTACATAAAATAGGGGAGAGGAGTTTCCTCTCCACTCATTTTTCATCCGTAAATCTCATCACAAGGAATCTAAAGGGGAACTCCAAAGGCCAACACATCCTTGGTGGTTGTATGTGTGGTCCCAACAACCTCCTGCTCCAGAAAGGCTAGGACATCGGATATGCCATTGGCAGTCCAGTCTTTGCAGGGGAAAGGCCTAGAGATGAGGATCTGAGTCAGGCTGGCAAGGTTGGAGTCAGAAAGTGACCATTAGGCAGTTAGTCACTTTCAATTGACCACAAAGAAGTGTTCACAGTCACCAAAATAAAGAGGCTGCCAACAGCGGCGTCCCCTTAGGGCATTTTGACCAGGACTGTACCCTAAAAGAAATAAGGCAACATCGCATAAAGCAAGAACCCCTCGCTAATCCATGAAGATGGAGGTGTCCTCATCCTGGCTGCAAAACAAGAGGTGGAAAGGCCTCGGGGTGGCAAGTCAGCTGAGGGAAGCACAGTTCAGCTCCGAGCCCTCCTGGCTGCCCCCGGCCCCCTCCTCCAGTCCGTCTGGGCTGTCGGTGATGTTGGGCTCACTGGAGCACTGCCGGTGGGGTGGGGGGAAGCTGGGTGGCAGGAGCAGGCACTTGTCCTCACTGCTGGCCTCCTCCCCCAGGCCCGAGTGCATCATGGTGGCCATGGCCAGCAGCTGGATGTCCGAGTGGGCATTGGCCACCGTGTGCCGCCGCACGCTGCCACACTTCTCCAGGTAGGCTTCCCCCTCCTGCTCCGTCAGCGGGGTCAAGGCCATCTCATTCAGTGGCCGGCTGACTGCAGTTATGGGGGAGGCATAGTTCAGGACAGTCACCTTGGGCCGGACCCGGGAGTGCCGCCTGGCTGCAAGAGAAAAATCAGCAAAGACTGTTATTAGAGAGGGGATATTGGTGCTCAAAAGCTCTGAATCTAGCCGGGGAAAAAGAGCAAGGTGGTGGCTCAACTTTTAGGAGCAGCTCTTAGGCACAGCCCAGCTACAATGCAAGGGACAAACTTGGTGATATCTAAATGTTTCTCTTGCAACTTTACCTATCTGTGCCAGATTCTGCCCCTAACCAACCCTACCCCACTCTGTCACCCAGGCTGGAGTGCAATGGTGCGATCTCTGCTCACTGCAACCTCCACCTCCCAGGTTCAAGTGATTCTTCTGCCTCAGCCTCCTGAGTAGCTGGGATTACAGGCATATGCCACCACGCCTGGCTAATTTTTGTTATTTTTAGTAAAGATGGGGTTTCACCATCTTGGCCAGGTTGATCTCGAACTCTTGACCTTGTGATCTGCCCACCTTAAGCTCTCTGTGCTTTAATTTCCCCATCTGTAAAGTGGCAATGGTGATAATAGTAATCACCTCATTGGGTTGAGAGGATTTAATTAGTTCATAGTTACAAGATGCTCAGATCAGCACCCAACGCTCTTAAGTGCTATCCTGTGTGCTAGTTGTTAATACTTTTAGCCCCTCTGAAAGTAGTGCTGATAGGCCCTCTCATTTTAGCCACCCAGCACAGATACAGATCCAATCTCCCTCCAAAACAGAGTTGTTCTCAGTATGCCCACCGCACAGATGAGGAAGACTGAGGCTCAGCCCCAGTTCTCTTAGGTTTTAGACAGCAGTTCCCGGACTTTCCCCACTACACGCTGCTGTGTCTCAGGGCACTGTTGCTGCCCTCGGAAGACATGTTTCTTGAACCAGCCCACTCTCTGAAGTCAGGTAATAGCGGCAGATGCTAGACAAGAGGCGGGAACTGGCCCCCCTTCTTTGGAGATAGGAGACAAACCCCAAGGTGCAACCAAAAAGAAAGAATCTACACCAGGCCCTGGCAGCAGTTCTTTCTGAAGCATGGAGGCTCATACTCTCTGACTTACACATTTCTATAATGTTCCCACATTCTTATAAATACCCTGTATTACTTTTATGATCTCAAAAAATCAATAACTATAAAACAGAAGCACCGGAAGAGTTCAAAGCAGCAAGGATCCCATTGAAAAACTGTCCTTTAAAAAAATGCCCTTGAAAACAATTTATTTCTCTCTCGCTACTGCTAAAACTACACACTTTAGATTGCTGTTGGGAAACCCATCTTGGGACCTCAACCCCACAACCAGCCTAGCAGGAGACTGCACAAGACCTCTGGTGAGCATTTGCTGTGTGCAGATGTCTGTGCTCCTGAGACTGGGTACCTCCCTGCCAGGAGGGGTTTGTGCAGAGGGTAGGGCTGGAGAGGCAGACAGCAGCAATATCATTTCTACTGTTGCTAGAGAATCTGATAATGTTTTATAGGAGTAGGGGAGACTCCTCTCTTTGGGGAAGGGGTATCTGGAAAGATACAGTATTAATGTTAGATTTTACAACATGGCTAAAACTTGGAGGAAAGGCTGGGACCAGAGAGGACAGAGGGTAAACTGAGGGAACAGGAAATGAACTTGCATGGCAGACATGTGCAGCATCTTTGGAGGAAGTGAGAATTTATCTGATGATTGCCGCAGGTCCCAAGGTCCCAACCCACTAGGATCAATCAGGGAAAGGTGTCTCCAGTGGTCCTTGGAGGGCCCAGGCAGCAAACGGACAAGGGAAGCCACTCTGGCTGCTCACAGGCCAAGAGCTGGAGCCAGAGTCGGGGGGCGGCCCTGGAGGAGGAGACCCCAACACCACCTGTCCCCACCTTCAATAAACACTACTGGCTGGGTGCGGTGGCTCATGCCTGTAATCCCAGCACTTTGGGAGGCCAAGGCAGGCAGATCGCGAGGTCAGGAGTTCAAGACCAGCCTGGCTAACAGGGTGAAAACCTGTCTCCACTAAAAATACAAAAAAATTACTGGGTGTGGTGGCGGGTGCCTGTAATCCAAGCTACTTGGGAAGCTGAGGCAGGAGAATTGCCTGAACTCAGGAGGCAGAGGCTGCAATAAGCCGAGACTGCACCACTGCACTCCAGCTTGGGTGACAGAGCAAGACTCTGTCTCAGAAAAAACAAAATGAAAAATAAACACTACCTGTATATGCAAAATGCTGCACTAGCTGCAGAGAGGAAAAGGAACATAAGTCTGACGTGGGGCCTCCAACAGGGGCTTGAGCCCAGCACACTTGTGTACCTCCATGCATGTGTGTGCACGTGTTGGGGCAGGCAGCTTTAGGCCCCATACCAAAAAGGAGGTGCTCCGTTGATGGTTTCCAACCACTTTGCAGAGGAACCTGAAGCTGAGATGTGGAATAATTACAGCCACAGTTAGTCATGAAACCAGGACTCAAACCCAGAGCTGACAGGACAGGCCCTGCTCATGACCCACACACAAATAACTGTTAGACCAGGTCAGTGCGGCAAATGTCAGGTCAGAGGTACGGATGACAGCACCTGGAAATTCAGAGGAGGAAGTCACAAAGAAAGGCTATTTCAGATAGGCTGTGCTTTTCTGGGCGTGACTTACAGACTGAACCACTTATTCATTCACAGGAGAGGTCTAGGCCAGGTCCAGGGATACAAAATCCCTGCTCTCAACAAGCTCAGTGTAAGGGAGAGGCTGAGAAATAGGACATGGCGATACAGCAAGGCAAGGCCCAGGATGTGATTTGGGATCCAGGTGGGGAATGCGGGTAGCATACACAACCTCCCCAGAGAGTATTGCACAAGGGCCAGGCCGCCTATAGCTGGGGTCCATAATGTAGCAGGCAGCCTCTACCCGGCCCTGCCCCGAGACAGAGCAGCTTCTTCCTCCTGCTGTCCCTGATCGGAAGGACAGGGCCTCTGCGCTTGGCCCTCTGTGGCTCAGAAGTTAAGTAACTTGCTCCAGGCCACACAGCAGAGCCCCAGCTCTTGTGGTTTCCAAGGCCCTGCTGTCTCCACAGTTGCCTCGGTGGCCTTTCTCTCCCTGCTGATGACTCACAGGACAGGCTACAGCTCTTCCTTCTGCTTTCTGGGTGGAATGTTTTCATTCCCAAGATTGGGTGTGGGCAGAGCCAGGACCACAGGGACCGCATGGCTGTGTCGAGTGCCCCGGGGCAGACAGCGTTTCCTTGCTAAGCATCCGCCCCACTCCAGAGCCAAGCTTCAGACAAGTGCGTCAGCTGTGTCCCCACTGGGAGGTCAGGCCTTCTGGGCCCCTTGGGAGGCCTTAAAACTGAACGCCAGGCCTGGGGCTGGCAGAGAGCGACCTGCACTCTTGCTTCTTGTTCTCCTCAACCTTTTTCTTCTGTGCCCCCAGGAAGGCAGGGCTCTGTCACCTAGGGAAGGGAATCTCCCACTAAGAAACTGATTACCCTGTAGCTATCGGCTGGGGCCCTAAAACCAGCCCTTCCCTTGCAGTGGTGCCCTTTTAGCAGGAAAAGGCCCAGGTCCTGCCATTTCAGCTGGCACCTCCAGGCCACCTCTGCCTCCTCCTCTTCCCTTTCACACGGGGTGGGGCCAAGGGGAGTCTTTATTCCCTCCTCACTCAGCAGGACCCCTGCTGAGCACTGGCATTCATCCCCTGCACCGGAGCCAGCCACAGCAGCTCCTTTCAAACCCCCAGAGAGACGCAAAGCCTGGATAAGGCTGTCCTTGAGCCCTTTGTTGGGGACTTGGTTCCCAGGCCTTTGATCTCCCAAGCTCCCTGGCCAGGCCCCACCGGAGCAACTGCCATAATACAGCCATTGTGACCTCGGCACACCAAGCCCGAGGTGGGCGTCCCACTGCAGGCTGGCACCTGAAAGCTGTGAATGCCCGCTTGTCACGCAGAGAAGTTACAGTGTCCTGAAGGAGCAGGGGCCCTCCCCCAGAGACACAATGGACGGAGGCCGGTGGGAGGCCAGGGCCTTTGTGTGGGAGAAGTCGAGCGTGCTGCTGAGGGTGTGCTCGGGAAACAGCCTGGAGACTTCAGGGACTTGAAAGGTAGGGCAAGCGCCAGCCTCTGGGGAGTCTGCCTTTTAAAAAAAATGTCACCATCCTCTTCTTCCTCCCTCACCAACTCCCACCATTGCAGAAAAGTGGCTGCTTTGGAGAGGGGGGCACGTTCTGTCATTCCCATCATGGGCCTCTGATCTCTGCATACCCAGGGTGTGGCCTGGCTGGTGGGAAGGGAGCCCTCCGGAGAATCCTCGCTCAGTCAAACGTGTGTGGGCATGTGGGTGCAGCGCAGAGCCTCAGGAATGAACTGCTTCTCTGGCTCTGGTCACCTACCCTGCAGGTGACCTGGAGACTGAAGACACAACAGTACCTTGGAGGATGGAATGAGTTACGCGTGAGACCCTGGTCAGTAGTGACTTCTGAGAGCATGGGTGCCTGTGACCACGCCTACCCATCCTCGGGCCCAGGTGAGCCGTGGCAAAACCCTCCCATAGGTAAAGGGGATTTTCGCCCCAACCCGACTCCTTAGTTTTCACTTCAGCCTGTCATCCTCCCACAGGCAAAACAAACATTTCACTAAGGCACAGACTGAGGCCCTGAGAGTCCTCTCTTTAGCTGGAAAGCAGTGTCCTCTGTCAGGATGGGCACTGCTGTGAGCACTTTAGCTCTTTGGTATCCAGAGACATGGGATGGAATGTCTGGCTTAGGATCCCTCATGGGCTAGGGAATACCTCCTGGGCTGTCCCTTGATAAAGTCACCTCCTAAAAGTTGGCAGTGCTCAGTGGGGTGGGAGTGACGCAGAACATGTGGGGAAGCTGACCAAGTATCCACACCTTGGGGTTTGGATCCTGGCTCCATGTGACCTTCATCCTCACTTGCTTCGCCTATAAACGTGGGACCAGCAGTGTCTGCTCCGTGGCCCAGCATCCAGCCCACCCAGCACCACGCCCAGGACATGGTCTCTGTCCAGTAGCTTCCCTTACCATCAACTTCCTTCCCACTCTGAAGCCCTTTCAGTTCCTCTAATGCTCCTTCCTCTTGCTCACCTCCTGTCCTCCAGATCCTCCCAAGGTCCGCTCCTTGGCCTGGGGATAGTCATTCCTCTCTGTTTACTCAGCTAACTCATCCTCATCCTGCAGGTCCCATCACAGACATCATCACTTCCTCCAGGTAGTCTTCCCTGATTCCTTAGTCAAGGTGAAGTCCCCCTGCCCTGGGCCCCATGGTCCCTGTACTTTCCCCCTCAGAACATGTGTACGCTGATGAGACACTGCCTTGTTTGTGACTTCTTCCCTGGGCTGTGTGCGCTGGAGGGCAGGAATAGGTTGGCTTCGTTTACGGATATATCTATAGCACTCCCAAGGTACTAGGACAGGGTCTTAGTACACATTTGCTGAAATGATAATTAAAAATTAACCAAAAGAGGGTCATGTCCCTCCCTTCCCCTACTGCAACTACTCTCCAGAGGCAGGGACTGTCTGAGGTACAAGAGTAAAACCTCGAGTCTTTGGCTTTATAATTTGACATAGTGTGCGTTTTTCTTATTTTAGTTGGAAAGCTAAAACTATCCCCTCTTAGAGTGAGTCCTCACCGAATAAACTTCCAAACTGACTCTTGTTCCCAGGATGAGACATCAGAATATGCCAACATCAAATACGCCTCTTAGGCGTAAGGATGTATGAACTGAAGGCAGTTAAGAAGCAGACACAGGAAGCTCTCTGGCCTCCCTCTATTTGCTTAAAGGCAGGATATAGACATATAAAGACAAAAGGTCTCCCATCCCACTTCTGCCAGGGGAAGCAAAGCTTAACCACTGAAGACAGCTTTAGACCCTTATCCGAAGGCAGTGGCTCCAGAGGAAACCACGAGAACAGGCCTCACTAACCGGCCCTTATCTAGCATCTGTTTCCCTTGCCACAAGCTGCCACCCTTGAAGACTCGAAGTTGTTTTTCTTTGCCTTGTCACTTTTTTAGAAATGTACTTTTTGTTGTTGAAGATGCTATATGAGCTGGAATTCAAAGCCACATATTTAAGAACTACTGAGTCCCCGGGTGTGTCCCTTGTGTGTATGAAACACACAATATTAATAAGCTTCTGTTGGTTTTTCTCCTGCTAATGTGTGGTAGGGGTCTGTTCCAACTAACAGAAGGGTTTGGAGAAAAACTGTTTTTCTTCTTCTACACTGGCATCAGGCCCAAACAATGATGGCATTCCTGCCATGGCCCAGCTGACCTGCTGACATCCTGACAGCTCCCTGGAGACCCACATCCCCCAAACTTGGTGAGCTGAGCCAGCAGGAAGGTGGGCTCCAGGGAGATGGCAGCAACATGGCGCCTAGCTCAGAGTGGGGCTGTGGGAGGCTGTTTTCCTTCAGTGGCATTGAAACGGGCTCATTCCAGCTCCTGGGAGGAATGGGTGAGGAAGGGAGGGAGGAGAGAGCGGGGAGAAGAACCAGCAGGCAGCAGGCTGGGGCCAGCACCCTCCGATCTGTGGTGGCTGTGGTTAAGCTGGTGTCTCCAGAGAAACACAAGCAGGGTGGTGAAAACTGCCAGCTGGCGCTGGCTCTTGCAGTGGTAGAGAGGCCCAGGAAGGGGCAGGAACCTCACGGGAGGACGCTCCTTTCTTTGAAGCTCAACTACTACAACTCCATTAAAGCAAGAAGAGGGGGCATCAGGTTCCCAATCTGAGCAATCTGTTTCTGCCTCTGCATCTGTCTGTGTGTGCTGGCTCCCCTGGTCCTGAAGTACCGTGGCTGCCATCACCTGACATTTTTTGAGTGCCTACTATGTGCCAGGCACCATTCCTGGGGTCAGAACAATGAACAAAAAGTTTACACATTTTGAGGGTTTACATTTCAGATAGTAAATGAGTTTTTTTAAAAATTAGAAGCCTTATCATGTAGCTATTTCTACAAAGACTGATCTGAGAGTGGTTTTGTATTATATTATAGAGATATTTGTACCAAACCCATCTAGACCACGGTGTCATTGAGAGAAGGAACAGATCTGATTCATCTCTAGATTTTCCAAGATGCGTGGTACAGATGCCTGGTACACTCACTGATGCTGGGTTTACAGCCACCAAAAGAAGGTCCCAACGTGATTGTGTCCAAATCCAGAGGCCCCTTCCCTTGCCATGTGGTGGTAACCTCCAGAAATGGAGTGGGAGACAGCAGCTTGATAACATCTGGTCATGCATACAACAAGCTGGCTTGACATTTCCAGTTGGTTTCAAAGGGAAATCCATCACCGGAGGTTTCTCTATTCAACCAGAGAGAGGGTGTAACCAGGCACAGTTTCTGGTATCAGATACAGAAAGATTAATGTTCTAGGCACACAAAAATGATCAAAGCCACTGATCAAAGATGTGGATCAGATAAGCACCACCAGAGAGGCATAGTACTGGTCCTTGGGGAGGAATCTTCAAGGGGGAAAGGAGGTTACTGTAACCTCTAGAGGCCAGGAACGTGAGTGCTTCACATGCATGGGGTTTGCACTGACCCGCACAGGAAGCAAAGGGCTGGGCACGTAATCAGTGCTGAGTTAAACACTGCTGGTATCATGATCACCAAGGCTCTTGACACCTTGAGAGCTGCACTTCTTACCCAGTGTGTACGTAGAGCCTGAGAAGCTACGGTCATCACTGATGCCGAGGAAAGGAGAAACCACTTGCTTCACCAGCTCCTCCAGTTGCAAATAACTCTCACTTGGGCCTGTGGGCTCGTGAACACTCTGGAAAATGAACAGCCAAGATACGCAAAGGTCAGCATCTGTTGCCATGCCCAGCAGGTGCTCACTTAACAAATCCTGATTGTCCTCCTTCAATGTACAGTGTTGCCAGCAGGCAGCATCCTTGCAGTTAGAATGAAGGAAACGGAGGCCTGAAGCCTTAGTCACTTGTCATGGGTCACTGCAATTAGAACTGTGCATGGTTAGTACTGCAGCAGCCTCTCCCATTGGGCTACCAATGCGATGTGGATGTCCCACCTCCAGGGCTGAGATCTGGCTGGTCTCAAGGACAATAATCCCACCCACACTGTTGTAGTGACTGGTTCATAAACAGCACACAGACACTTAACACATATTAAGGCACAGAGGTCTCCTGACAATGCAAAGAGGAAGGTGCTCTGATTAACCCCCTACTCTGGATGAGGAACTAAAGACCCAGAGAGCTTAAGTATCATGCCCAGGAAAACACAGCCAATAGATGGCAAAAACCCTGGACTGGAACCTAGGCTATCTGGCTCTGATTCCCTTTTACTGCCACTTGCTATCAGGCTAGAAAAGAAGGGAGGAAAGAAAACGGAAAAGTGCAGAGTGGTAAGAGAAAGGGAGAATTCTTCTAGAGCCAGGAATAGTTGTAGCAACAAGATAAAGAGCCAATTAAAAACCCTGATGTGACGGGAGTTCTCAAAGCTAAGTGCTGAGTAAAGAACGGTCAAAACCAGAAAGGACTCAGTAACCAATGTTTTGTAGAAAACCAGCAGACTCCTAGGGAGTCCAGCTTCTTGCTGGAAAGGACTCAAACGTGCTGTCATATTGAGAGGCTGCAAAGAAGCAGAGACCACCTGGCAGCAGAAGGGCTTGGCTAGGAAAGAAACAAGGCTCCATGGGGCTGTGCCCAGCCCGAGGGGTTAACATGTCAAATTCTCAAAACGGGGTGGACTCTAAATCACTTTCACTTTCAAAGTAGACTCCACTCCAGCACGGTGTTTCAGGGATTGAAGGGGAAGCTGGTCAGGTAATGAGGCAGGCAGGGCAGACTCCTGCAGGTTGGCGATCCCGGGGGGATGTAAGCTGCCAAGGAAACAGACTATTCCTCGGCCCCTTTTTGGTACTGTCACATTGAGATGGGTGTGGCCAGGGGCTGGGGGAAAGAGAGGACACAGCTTCAGGAAACACAAGGAGGCTGGAGAGGGGGCTGGATGGTGCAGATTTGGAGGTAGAAACAGGGCCAGAAGAGATGCAGGGAAAATGAGTGGATTCTCCCCAAAACCTTCCATAAATGACAAACAGGGAGAGATCACAGAAAAAGGAGAAGTGGCAAAAGGTGGGAGGAACGTGGATAATAAACACGTGATTTGGAGCTGGATGGTCTTCTCCCAGAAAAGTCGCTGCTGAGAACTTGGCTTGTGCACAGCCCTCCAGGAAGGTGCTGTCCTCGGCCCTTGGCTTGGCTGCCAAACAGCTACGGAACTGGTGTGGTCCAGAGTGAAAAATGCAGGAGCTCACGTTCAGAAATCAAGAATGTCAAATGGTGATGGGAGAAAATTAAACCAAGCTCAGGGTCCTCCGAGCACAGGCCGAATACCCTGCCTGGCTGGGGCCTCTGAGAATGCCCCGTTCTTAGGGTGGTCTCAGGACCTGACTGCATCAGCTGGGAGCAAACAGGTCTTCACACTGGTCAGTATCTCTGATTCTGCCTCTCACTGGGGCAGTTTGAAGGCAGAGCACATGGCCCACTGTAGGAGTATTTGTACATTTTGGAAAAGGTGGAGTTGGGTCAGGGACATTTTGGAAGAGCAACAGAAAAGACAGAAATGAAGGCCTAAGAAAGAGCTCTTTTCTCTGTACTAGGGTCAAGTAGTTTTGAAGAAATATCAGCCCCAGGTCTCCTGGTACTGTGGAAAGTGCAGGCCTAGGGAGAGAATGGACAATTCTAAAGTACCAAGGCCCACATTTCCTGTAGCAGGTGTGGCCCCAGGGTAGTGCCACCTAGAAGTTCCATTCAGATCCAGAGCCCACCACCCCTACTGCTCAAGGAGATGGACTTGGGCCAGGGAAAAATCCGTGTTCTTCACAGTCACACCCCCAGCCGCAGGCTCTAGAGCTCCTGGTGAGGAAGAACACGGGCAAAAGGCACCATTCCCAGGAAGTCCTCAGGGGAAGTGATGCCAGATGCCCTACAGGAAAGTGGGACGATCTTTAATGGTCCGTAGGGTGCCTGTAGGGCATTTCCGAGAATGCTGGGAGACTGCAGAAAGGAGGCAGTAGTTGCCTAGAAAGGCTAAGTGGAGGTAGGAAGACAGGCTGAGGGATGGGGAACAATCCAACTCTCTTATAAATGAATACATGAGCTTGAGTGCAGGTGCCACCTTCTCTGAACCTGCATCTCAGCTGTGAGACGGGGAAAACAATGGTGTAGACACAGGAGGAACCGTTCCCTTGCTTGACTTTCTGAAATTCGCCACGACCCCAGAGCTTCTCTGACTGTACTTCCTTCTGCCACGAGAAGAAGCCCGCATGACGGTCACCAACCTGGGGTGTGAGGCCAGGGATACAACATCAGTCCTGCCCAGGCTTCTACTAGCTGGTGCTATATTCCCTGGACAGCGTTTAATCAATGCCTGTTATATGCCAAAGACTGCTAGGCGCTGAGGGCACAAAAGCAAAGAGAAAACGTAAGGACCTTCCTTCATTGGACAGGAGTTTGAGAGCCTCAGTTCTGAGCAGGGGGAAGGGCGAGCACAAAGATCCCGTGGCAGGCAGGGAAGCCAAGAAGACTAGAGCAGCGGGGAAGTCAGGCTCCAGGCAGGGATGGAAGGGTGGGAGATGCCAAAGGCCGGGGTACAGACTTGGGCTGTTTTTCTAAGATCAATTGGAAACCACTGAAGAGTCTGAGGTTGTCCCATGGAAAGCAAATTGGGGTGGGGACCAGAGTGGATGAGCCAGATTCTCCTGGGCAAGCAGTCTCACCTCTCTTTGGGGATTCAGGGGTACGATGATGGAAGCTTTCTCATACGGTTACAGGGCTACCTGGCACCAGGCCCGGAATGTTGGAATGTGATAGGCATTTTTCATTATCGACACAGGCCCTCCTGTTCCAGCATCAACAGGTGAGAGGCTTCACCTGCAGGACTGGATCAATTCTCCTTCCAACCAAACCAAACCACACAAAGCACCACCGCCCAAAACACACAGGAATCGCTTCTCATCCCTCAACTATTATAAACTGAAATGGGAAGATGGGAGCTCAACTTTCTGAATTTTCCTATCAGAATCCCGAAGGGCTCATTTTCAAGACTCCTTATTCAGCATGCATGCTCTAATTAGGCTTCTCAGACCCGAGCCCCACATGCATTTTTCTAGCCCCCTCCTTCTCCATCTCTTCCATAAAAATACTTGACCTGACATTCCAGCCAATTACACCCACCCTCATCCTATTAGGCAACTCTTCCTCCTCTCTGATTACAGGAAAAGGGGGAGAATGCCCAGAAAAACGGCTCAGCTTCAAAAACTGAAAGAGAACACCAGCTGGGGGATGTGGGAGAAGGATCAGATTGAGGCCGCAATGCCTGACATTCCATCGCCGCTGTGAGGGCAGCAAGGGGTCACCACTGGCCTGATCAAGGATGAAGCCATCTTCCCTGAGGAAGGGCTCAGAGCTAATGCTGCCCCATCTGAACTTGTTACAGAGATGGAGACGCATAGCAGTCACCTCTTGGGGGTGCCCTTAGCCAAAAGTCCTACTATTTGAGAACTGTGTGCCCCCACTGATAGGAATGGGCTTGCCAAGGTCATGTTTATACTGCTTGATCTTACTCAAGAGTCATGGCTGATTGGGCAAAGAGGAATCGTCTCGTCCAAGCTGGACCAATTAAATTATTTCCTCGGAATCTTACCGCCTCTTCCTAGCTGAGAGACCTCAGGCAAGCACACAGACTCACTAGGTTTCATCTTCCTCACTTCTAAAATGGGAATAACAGCAATGCCTACGTCATATGGTGATTGTCTGGATTATCTGATTAAGAAAACAACATACTTAAAGTCCTTGGCCCATGCCTGGCACATAGCCAAGGACCAATAAGTGTTCGCTCAACTTCCTAGTATTGATTTAGAATTGGGATTCAGTGACATTAGGCAACCACTGGATAGTCTCTTACTGGAAGCACATGAGCTGTGAGATGTCGCATTCGATCAGGTGCAAACCAAACACAGAACATAAACCTGCAGGGAGAAAGAGGCCAAGTCCAGGAAAGACAGGACAAGATGAAGACAGACAAGGTAGCCAGATTCAAGTAGAGACTAGGAAGTAGAGAAAGGATGGTGGCTTCATGGCCTGAGACAGCCGCATTCCCGGTAGTAATCCCTCAGGAAGTCCATCTGCCCTGGGGGCTTCCCAGGCTTAAGCTAGGCCAAAGTGTATTCTTTGCTGTTAACTTGCAACTTGTGGCTCCTTGGCATCACTGGAGAGGGAAAAGGACATCTACTTCCTGAATGAAAGACTTGCTTCCTTTACTCCCCAGTGCAATCCTGGCACCAAGCACAGCACCAGGAACTAACAGGTGCTCAGTGAATGCACATCAAATGAACAAATGAATGAACAAATGAACATGGGCCAACACCAACAAACTAAATAGTAGTAAGTCAAGCTAAGGTGCTCTGGTCACTAGGTTCCTTCCCCTCATCTCAGAATGGCAGCCTCTTCCCTCGCTCCCTCCCTTGGCCTTGGGGCAAGTCTCCAGTACAGCCTCACCTGCAGGATGAGCAACATCTGGACAATGGACGAGGGCAGCTTGGACTGGGCCAGCAGCAGCAGGTCACCCAGCTTCACTTTCAGCAGGACCAGGTCTCGGAAGCCCAGCAGGGAGATCTGGCGGATAGTCAGCTCCTGGCCCTAGAGCGGACAGAGGAGGGAGGGCTGGGAGGTGACAGCTCACTGAATCTGCCACCAACCACGTGGGATTTAAGACAGCACATGTTTAAGTAGCCCCAAAGATGAGATGAGGTGTCTGCAAGGGCTAATGTGTCTTTCAAAGCATCAAAGACCTGGCTCCTGTCCTGTAGGATTAAAATGTTGTTAAGATAAGGCATGACTCAACCTGCCTACCTAAATGACCCAACGACAATACAAGGCACATATAAAAGGGCACTCTATTATCAGTGTTATGAGTGGTCAGGAAGGAGAGAGAAAGATGGGGAGAAACAAAGGAAAGATCAATCCTACCTCCTACATCCAAGGCTACATTTCCCAACTCCTTTTGTGATATAGCTGAACACCTATCATACAAATAAAGAAGGAAAACACGAGACCTCTTAGATTGTTGTATAAATACCAGTAACCTAGGAAGAAAAAGAAATAGAAAAGCCAAAGGAAAGGGCTTTGTCCAACTGTGGGGGTGGGGTAAGGAGCAGAAGGTGAAAATAACAACTATATATAAGCTAACATTTATTAAATTCTATGTGCCAGGCATGAGTCTACATATTTTAAAGGCAAACAATACATGTAATCCCCACAACCACCCTTTGAGACAGGAACCATTATAAAACCCATTTCACAGATGAAACACCCAAAAACCCAGAGAGTTACTATAATCCACCCAAAGTAGAGCTGGGTTTCAAACCCAAACTTCCTGATTTTAGAGCTCCTCAAGTTTCCCAAGACCAAAAGAGAAAGGAAGGTGCATTTTTCAGCTCTCCTTTGCACACATACATGCAATACACACTAAAAGTTGGTTGTTCTTGGTTGAGCCCAACCCGTTTCACAGATGAAACAGTCAAAAACCCAGGCAGTTACTATAATTCGCCCAAAGCGGAGCTGGGTTTCCAACCCAAACTTCTTGATCTTAGAACTCAAGTTTTTCAAAACAAAAGAGAAAAGAGCGTTCATTTTTCAGACTCTCCCTTACACACAGTCATACAAATGCACACTAAAAGTTGGTTGTTCTTGGTAGAACCAAAGACCTCATTAGGGTACCCGACCAAGGTTTAAGGATATTTATACTTCCTGCAACTTCGTAGGGTTTTATAGAAACGTAGTCAAGAGTGGTTTTGCTATTTCCGTATTCCCTGACCCCCCACATCCAACAGATACACACAATCACCACCCATACCTTTCAATAACATAAAAACTTATTATAAACAGAGCTCACATTATGTTGTGTGCTTAAAATACCTTATCTTATAATGAGGGACTCTGGGTTTTATTCTTTCAGTATCTCTGAAAAGTTGGTCAGTTGGTACTACCTCTGTTGGATGGATTGATGGACAGAGAGGCTGAGGCACGAGGAGAGAGCCAGCATTAGGCCCCATTATTCTGGCCAGTCCCTGGGTCTTTGTCCTGTATGATGTTGGAAGCAGAGGGGATATAACCAACTTTCATTCACAACCTTCCAGGGAAGTGAACAGAACTGTTTGATTTAAATTATAGAATGTGGGAAGAGAGAAGGAGGAAGACTGGGGCACGCAACCTTCTGGAAACCAGAACAGCAGTTCTGGTGGGAAGGGAAGACTGCGAGGCAAAAGGAAACGCTTGTCGGACCTCCTGCTCCAACAACTGCCAAATCACTTTCCAGAACGGATTTTCTAGGAACTCCCTACGAGGTCACCAAGGCATCCCGAAGGAGTCTTTATTCCCAGAACCGTACTCCAAAAAGACAAGTGTTTTTGGTTTTATATTTAAATCATAAAATATTCAAAGGCAAAGATTACAACAGGTCAGAAAAAGGGCTTAAGGTAAGGTTACAAGTCCGCTTCCTCTAATTTCTTATTCTCCCTCCACACTGGTAACTGCTCCTTGAGGTTTTTATTTATATTCTGGATTTCTCCAGAAAGTTCCTATATCCACAAAATCACATATAAAACCTTTAAACCCACACAGAGATTATGCCCCTCCTACTGTTCTGCAGCATGCTTTTGTTTCACTTTGCATATTTTAGACATCTTTTCATACCAGCACATACTAACCCACCTCACTCTTCTTTAAGGCTGCATAATATTCCACCACTATATGAACACACTCTATGTGACCACACTTCTCCTTACCAAGATGCTTTCATTTGAACACGTGTATGTTTTAAATATATTTATCCATGCCACATTGGGCGCTTTTATCAGCATATCCAGATTATTCCCTTGCAAAGGAAAATTGCTCAATCAAAATATGCCTTTAAAAAGTCTCACAGATATGCCATGTTGCTCTCCAGAAAGACGGCATCTATTGTACTCCAAGCAGCAGCAGGATGATTAGGAAAATACAGGTCATAACCCCACTTAGGCAACTCTCAGGGGCTGTGCCCATATTTCCATAACAGTGCCAGTATACAGTAGACACTCAACAGTCACCCATTGTCAACTCATCTGCTCAGCCCATGACGTGGGAAAAACAAGTCCAAATAGCTGGATTATCTGCTGTGATTCCAACACATTTTGTTGTATAGAGAATAGTAATAATAATGATATTGATGATGATAGTGACATTTCTTAAGCCTTTACTATACGTCATATGCAAAATTAAGTGCTTTTCATGTATTATCTCACTCACTCTTCTTAACACCCTTGGGAAGCACGTTTTATTATTTTCTAGAAGAAAACTAAAGCTCATAGAGGCAAAATTATCTTCCCAAGAATATCAAGATGATAAGCGGCAGACTGAGGATCTGAACCCAGGTCAGTAACGTGGTTTGGATATTCGTCCCCTCCAAATCCCATGTTGAAATGTTTTCTGTTAGAAATGTTAGAGAGCCTCTTCCCTTCCCTCTCCTCTCTGCTGGCCAATAGGGAGCTGAAGCCACTGCTGGGGCGCTGGAGGGCTAGGGCGCGAAGGAGCGCCAGGTGTTACGCTACTGAAAGAGGGCGCAGCAAAGGTCGGGTGGCGAACTGGTAGTGTGACTGAGGGGCAAGGAAGCCCTGGGGAAGGCAAGGAAGTGAGCTCCTCCAATCGTTGCGAGGTACTAGACACCTGGGCCAGGTGGGACCTATAGGTGAGACCTAGTAGGAGGTGTTTGGGTCATGGGCGCAGATCCCCCATGAATGGCTTAGGTGTCCTCCCCTTGGTGATCAGTGAGTTCTCAATTAATTCACACAAGAGCTAATTGTTTAAAAGAGCCTGGCACCTCTTCCTCCGTCTCTTGCTCTCTTCTCTCATCATGTGACCCACTGGCTCCCCATCACCTTCCGACATGGTTGTAAGCTTCCTGAAGCCTCACCAGGAGCAGATGCTGATGTGTGTTTCTTACACAGCCTGCAGGACTATGAGCCAAATAATAAATGTTTTTTTTAAATAAATTATCCAGTCTCAGGTATTCCTTTATAGCAATGCAGAATAAACTAATACACAAAATTGGTATCAAGGAGTAGAATGTTGCTATGAAATTACCTGAAGAAGTGAAAATAGCTCTAGAACTGGGTAATGAGCAGTGGTTGGAAGAGTTTAGAGGGCTCAGGGCTCAAAAGATGACAAAAAGACAAGGAGATGTTGGAACTTCTTAAAGACTAGTTAAATGATTATAAATAAAATAAGAACAGTAAAGGCAAGGCTGAGGTGGTCTCAGATGCAAATGAGGAAGTTACTAGGAACTGGAATAAAGGTCACCCTTGTTATGCCCTACCTAGCAAAGAACTTGGCTGCATTGTATCCATGCCCTGGGGATTTGTGGGAGGTTGAAGTTAACAGTGATGACTTAGAGTATCTGGTAAAATAAATTTCTAGGCTGGGCATGGTGGCTCAGGCCTGTAATCCCAGCCCTTTGGGAGGCTGAGGCAGGTGGATCACAAGGTCAGGAGTTCAAGACCAGCCTGATTAATATGGTGAAACCCCATCTCTCCTGAAAATACAAAAATGAGCTGGGCATGGTGGCAGGTGCCTGTAATCCCAGCTACTCAGGAGGCTAAGGCAGGAGCATCACTTGAACCTGGGAGGTGAAGGTTGCAGTGAGCTGAGCTCGTGCCATTGCACTTCAGCCTGGTAACAAAGTGAGACTCCATCTCAAACAAACAAAAAAACATTTTCAAAGGAGCAAAGCATTCAAGATGTGGCATAGCTGCTTCTAACAGCCTAACATCAGGAATAGGTACAAAGGAATGACTTAAAGTTGGAACTTATAATTAAAAGGAAAACAGAACATAAAAATTTGAAAAATTTGCAACCTGGCCATGCAATGAAGAAGGAAAAGGCATTTGCAGGAGAGAAATACAAGTGAGCTGTGGAGCAATCACTTCCTAGAGAGGTTTGCATGACTAAAAGGGAAACAGATGCTGATAGCCAAGACCACAGTTTTAAAAAGGCCTTGAAGTCATTTCAGAAACCTCTGGGACAGTCCCTCCCATTATAGGCCCAGAGACCTAAGAGGAAATAATGGTTTTGGAGGCCACGCTCAGGGGATGCCCAGTGCTACCTCAGGACACTGCTCCCCACATCCCAGTTTCTCTGGCTCCAGATGTGGCTCAAAGTTTCCCAGGTACCATTCTAGCTGCTACTCTGGAGGGAATAAGCTGTAACCCTTGGTGTTCCACATAGTGCTAAGTCTGCAGGTACACAGAGTGCAAGAGAGAAGGAGGCTTTGCAACTTCCACCTAGATTTCAGAAGTTGTATGGAAAAGCCTGGATGCCCAAGCAGAAGCCTACCACAGGGGTGAAGCCCCCACTAAGAGACTCTACTAGGGCAGTGCCAGGGGGAAATGTGAGGTTGGAGCCCCTGACACAGTCCACAAAGGGCCACTTCCTAGTGGAGCTGTGGGAAGAGGGTTGCTGCCCTCTAGACTCAAGAAAGGTAGAGCCACCAGCTTGTACCCTGAGCCTGGAAAAACCACAGACACTCAACTCCAATCTGTGAAAGCAGTCCCAGGGGCTGCCCTTCAAAGGCAGAGACGCAGAGCTAACCAGGGCCTTGGGAGCCATCCTTTGCATCCAGTGTGCCCTGGATGTGGGACACGGGGTCAAAGATTATTTTGGAGGTTTAAGATTTAATGTCTGCCCTGCTGTGTTTCAGACTCAAGTGGGGCCTGCTGTCCCTTTCTTTTGGCCAAATTCTCGCTTTTGGAATGGGAATGTTTACCCAATGCCTGTGACACCATAGTATCTTGGAAGTAAATGACTTGTTCTTGATTTTACAAGCTCAAGGAACTTGCCTTGAGTCTCAGATGAGATTTTGAACTTTTGATTGAGCTGATGCTGGAAGGAGTTAAGACTTTAGGGGACTACCAGGCAGGGATGATTATATTTTGCGACGTGAGGAGCACATGCGATTTGGAGTACCAAGAACAGAATAATATGGCTTAGATATTTGTCCCCTCCAAACTTCATGTTGAAATTGTTGGAGGCGGGGCCTGGTAGGAGGCATTTGAGTCATAAGGGTAGATCCCTCAAGAATAGCTTGGTTTCCTCCACTTGGTAATGAGTGAGCTTTCACTCTTCACTGAGTTTTCACTCTATTAGTATTAGAGAGCTAATTATTTTTAAAAGTCTGGCACCTCCTCCCCATCTCGTCGTGTGATACACCGGCTCCCCCAGTGCCTTCTGCCATGAGTGAAAGCTTGCTGTGGCCTCACCCTGGAGCAGATGTTGGCAACTATACTTCTTGTTCAGCCTACAGAACCATAAGCCAAACAAGCCTCTTCTCTTTATAAATTACCCAGTCTCAGGTATTCCTTTATAGCAACACAAACAGATGAACACAGTCAGTCATGAGCTAACTCTGCAGCTCATGCTGTGACCAACTCTGTTCCTCTTTGTGGCTGCTCCCCTCCCCTGATTTCTTCCCCAGATTATTCTGTTACCATCCCTTCTTCACATGAAATACCTGTAGTCATTTGGGTCTAGACTGGGCGTGGGTAGTTACAGCACTCACCTGGAGAACATGACCGATTTTGCCTTTGGGGCTTCTAAGCCCACAGTTAAACATTACACTCTCAGAAGAAAAGGCCTGGATTTATAAGTGACCAGCGGGGCATGTTGAATCAGTACATAGTGCCTTCTGTGTTTAAAGGCAAGTTGAACTGGGCGGAGGTCAGCAACATGCCACCACCATTTATGTCAGAACTGGCTCCAATATCCCAACCTCTCAATACCTAAATCCCTCCTCAGCATGGGCGGTGGAGGGGAGCTTTACCTTGAGAACTCCTCGCTGGTTCCCAACCCATAAAGGCCTTTTCTGTATGCAGAATCTGGCCTTTGATGCAGGCAGAAAATACTTTTAAGGGAGGGTATGGGGTACTCAGTTTATACCAACCTGCCACATAAACAAGTTAATCATTGCTTTCTTAGAGGATTATTTGGGGCCATTAACCAGAGCACTGGCTTGTTACAAGTCCTTAGCCATCTCTTAGGCCCACGATGAATCAGAGAAGGAATTCATACTAATCCAGAACTGGTTTTTCTTGTTTTGGGGTTGGGGCGAGGGGAAAGCCTAATAAAACCAAGCCAGTCTCCTCACAACCTATGTCCCCCCAAAAAACAGCAGTGCATATCCCTGTTACCCAAATGCCATCCAGTATCTCTAGGCTAAGCACAGAGAATAAGTAAAACCTAAGCGCATACGGTCCAATAAAACTATAAACATGTGGACCTGGATCAGCTGAGAACAAAGAGGAGGAAGGAGGCACAGTTTGCCTCCTGTGGGTATCCTGTATACCTTTCATGCCCATTTGCTACAGATACGCCCCACTTCCCTGGAATATTTCCTGTCCACAGTCTGAACTGGGGCATGTACATCTCACCCACACCCAATTCAGCTAACGGACTAAAGCAGGGTTAGCACAGGCGAACGGCCTCAGGAGCTGACAGGGAAGGAGAAGGCAGCAAGGTGGGGGCCGCAGCAAACTGAAGAAGAAAAGCACAGCTCAAGTCAGCCACTGAGGAGTGAGGAGGTGAATGGGGCAAGATTAACTGCTGCCAGATCTTACCGTCTTTCAAGAAAAGCAAAGCAGAGATATCCTTAGACCCACATGTCTGGGCTCCTGCCTGGCTCTGAGCTTTTAAAACCAGCACCCTCCCCCTGACCCCAACCTTTGCCTTCTTGACTATACTGGAGCCATGTCGACCCAGATCCTGCGTTCTCCATTCTAGAACCATCTGGACACCCGTACCCCAGAGTTCCCTATACAAATGGCTGGAAGAGAGACCCAGTGCCCCTCGAAATGGTGGTTCCAAGTTGCTGTCTTGGGTATGGTTCAGTTTCCCTTTAAACACAGGAGGCGCCAGATACGGATTCCAAGTGCCCCTTTGTTCACTTATGAATCCAGGCCTCTTCTGCACCCTCCTCTAGTAGGCTTGCCGGATAAAACACAGGATGCCCATTTGAAGGGTTTTTCAGTATAAATATGTCCCTAATATTGCATTATTTGTTTATATATGCAATTCAAATATAACTCAACATCCTGTATTTTTTATTCATTTATTTTGAGACAGGGTTTTGCTCTGTCACTGAGGTTGTATGTCGTGCAGTGGTGCAATCTCGGCTCACTGCAGCTTCGATCTCCTGGGCTCAAGTGATCCTCCTACTTCAGCCTCCCTAGTACCTGAGACTACAGACACATGCCACCACGCCCAGCTAATTTTTTTTAATAGATGGGTTTCATCATGTTCCCTAGCCTGGCCTCAAACTCCTGAGCTCAAGTGATCCACCCGCCTCAGCCTCCCAAAGTGCATGTGAGCCACCATCCCTGGCCAACATCCTGTATTTTTATTGCTTAACCGGGCAACCTTATCCCCATGTCTAGCTTTCTGAGAGAGGACTCACTGCTGGCTGATGCGTGACCACTGCAAGGGAGGGGAAGGTTTCTGCAGGCTACAGCACAGGGCCTTCTATCTGTGCTATCTTAGCAGAAGTGTTATGGGGTGGACTTAACATGGGAAGTGGAATCTATAAGCATAATCTCCCAGGTTTTAAATATTTGACGTATGTTTTAAACAATTCAAAATTTCTTTAAAACACTGTTCAGACCAAACAATCCATGGGGGCCTTGACCTCTGGCATAAGGTAATTCTACCCATTGCTAATGGCTGTGTTCCTCTGCATACCACACCCACAATTCAATACTACCTAATTATATACGAAGCTTCAACCCCAGTGTGAGGAGTTGAGGGGTGAGCACACTGCAGCTTAAGTGAGAGAGACATGTATTTTGGAGAGGAACATCTATAGGTCAACCTCCCTTTGGGATGGTGCCGACCTGGCAGTGATCATCTTACTGTCTTTCAAGAAAAGTAAAACAGAGATATCCTTAGACCCACATGTCTTGGCTCCTGCCTGGCTCTGAGCTTTTAAGGCCAGCACCCTCCCCCTGACCCCAACCTTTGCCTTCTGGATTATACTGGAGCCATGTCCACCCAGATCCTGGGTGTTACATGATATTAGCTCCACAGAAAGAAGGGGCAAGGATATCAACACAAATAGTAGGAGTGGAGGTCACAGAAGAAGAATACTAGAGATGTCATTCATATTTTACTCTAAATTCCTTGTTTTGCAGAGATAAGATGGAGCTATGCTCACAGAAGATAAATGACTCTGCCCAAACCCACACTCTGGAATCTAAGTCTATAGATTCCCAGTCCAGTGTTCTTCCTGCTAAATCACATGGGATCCATTACAGAGGGCATGGAATGCTACTCCTTTTTCATGATTTGAGGGCAACAGAAAACTTGCTTTAAAATTCTATTTCAAAAAAAAAAAAAAAAAAAAGGAGAGAGAGAGACAGGGGAAAGAAAGAGGCAGGGGAGAGAAAAAAGAAACAAGAAATCACCCTCCCCCCATCTTCCCTACTTCTGGAAACTAAGAAAAACAAACCACTCCAAGAATATAAAGACATACTCAAAACCAAGAGGTAACTAGAGCCTACAAATTGCTAGTTACGCAGGCACTCTTCTTCACTTGAAGTTAGGTACTAAATATAGAACCAGAGAGCCCTGAAAAGATCTCGAAACTCCTCAACCAATGCAAGTGCCCAGGTTCCAAGTTTTCTCCCAATCACCAAGAGCCCCCAGGCCGCAAACGCCAAGAGAGAAGACAGATTGCTGAGGATGGCAGGAAGTGCCCCCCAGTGAGACTGACCTGAACTGGATAAAATATTGCTTGCAGGGTAGGGAGAGTCTCGGTGAAGAAGTGGTCCCAGACTTCAGCCAGAACCTCAATGCGATTTTCACCTACAAGAGGGCGAGAAGATGGGAGGGGAGGAAGAAAGAAAAGAACTTATTACTTGTAGGAAAGCCCTGAATTCAGTTCCACATAAAATGTAAAGTTGCACATGCTAAAACTTGCAGCCAGGAGATATTATAAGTCCAGAGAGCAGGTGTGATGCTACAGGATCTTTATTCCATGCCAAGATCAACAGAAATTCTCAGAGCAGAAATATATTCAGTCTCACATGGATGCATGTATTGATCCTAACTCACTGGTCTTAATAATAAGCAACCTAAACTTGCTAATCTTCACTAGTAAGACTCTGCATGGGAGGTGCAGCATTAAGTGTGGCGAGGGAAGAGAGCTCATTGCTTACAGTTGATCTACATTTGATCTATAAGGTGTTACTCTAGTATATGTAGGACTGGGTGGGAAAACTCAACTGAAAATATGCAAATGTGCCTTTCCATCCTCCAATCCAGAAAAGGGAAGTGACATCTTAAAATCATATCGTAATTGTTATCACATCAATGGTTACAACATTATCCGGCACTATGCTAGTTTACTTATCCATACGATATCTCAAGACTAGAATGTAATACCCCCGCTTTACAGGCTCAGAGAGGCCAACTAACTGCCCCAAAGACACACAGGTCAAAGGCATAGCTGAGATTCCAGAACCCATGCTCTTGACCAATCTAATCCAGGAAGATCATGTGCACAGTTATAAAATGTTTTGTTTTCTTACTCATTAGGACACTGGCTTTATTCTGAGTTTCAGCTGTCAGTGGAGAGAGGCAGACAGAGGACCTGGAAAGTGTTCCCTCCACCCATTTATTTTACAGTAACTGGAAGGGCAGCATTCTCTGAAAAGGCCATCTGCAGAACACAGCCCCTGCCTCCTGATCCTGTCCCTACTTACCCCTAGGATCAGGGAGCCTAAGCAATGGCCAAGTGTCCCTGCTACCCCAGGCCGGAGCATACAGGTCACCCGATGCCATCGGAAGGTGGTGCGAGGAACTCTGCACCTCCAGGAAAGACGGGCCCCAGCAGAGAGAAGACTGCATGGCGGTTGCTGTTTAATGACCTAGATATCAGAGCTGATATTGGTCACTGCCTCTGCTCATCCCAGGCAGAGAAACTGGGTCAGCCAAGATTAGACACTGAGAGAAGTGTTTGGCAAGACACTGCCAGTTCCACTGAATAGATCTTGAAAGATTCATTTGGCGCCTCCTGTCTATTAATTTAATGGGCAATAAAAGCAGTGGCTTGGGAGAGAGAATAGAACAAGGCCATGACTAGTAGCCAGCAGGTCCAAAGACATGCAGATTTTGAAAGGTCAGGGTGAAATACACAGGGGGAAAATGCAAATCCCAGGCACCCTCAACTTTCCTGTGCAAAGCACTGATCACACTTTACTGGAACGGCTTATTCACTTCTTCTCTGTCTTGTCACTGGAGTGGGAGTGGGAATGGGGCCCCGTCTGTCTTGCTCATCACTATATTGCTAGCGCTTAGTGTGGTGCCAGACACATCAATAAATCAGTCTTTTAAAATCTTTGCATGAATGGATGGAAAGTGCCAAGTGTATAGGTTTTTGTAGATACTGGGGCTGGTGAGTGAAAGGAGGTTAAAATGTAACCCAAATATGGGATAGTGTAGAACAGGACTTAATAGTTAGCACGAACATTTTCCTTTGCTCCTACGATAAAGAAAACCTCAATAACTCAATCTACACAGCCCAGGAGAATCTGCCTCCTCCTTCTGGGCCTTGATCCTCTTCTGTATTCCTGTCGGCCTTTGGACTCTAATTGACCTTCTTGCAGTCACCCTGCTCTCTCGTGCCACAGGGCCTTTGCACATGCTAGCCCTTTTGCCTTGACTGCTCTTTCTTTCCCTTCTTTGCCTAACCTACTTCTGTTTATCTTTCTAGTTGCACCTTGAACATCACTTCTAGGGGGAATTCTCTCCCCACTGGTCAAACCAGCTCGCTGCAGATTGTATTCTTAGTACTTGTCCAGGGTATTGTTTTATATTTGGTGATGATTTGATTCAAGTGTCAGCTCCATGAGGGCCTATAATCCTGTGATGGTATTTCTGACTCCTGACACCCCAGCACCTAGCAAAGTACTGTCTCATGGTAGATAATCAAATAAACATTTGATGGAAGCAATCGTCATGCTCTTTCAAATGTAGGCTATGCTATTTTACTGCAGGGAGGGGAAGGGGAAGTCCAAAAGGACCATCTTACATGTTGAGTCATCCTGGTTCCTAAAACCAAAGTGAACTCCAGCACCTGGTTAATATACCCCAAAGGGCAAAATGTTACTCCAGCTTCTTTGTTGATGTCCTTTATCTTAAGCCTTCCACAACCAAGACAAGCAGAAGCCCTTTTGATCTGAAGGAGGGGAAGAAGAGAGAATCTTGCAGGTCAGCACTGGTACCTACTTACTCCCCCTTCTAATGCTGAGACAGGAAGCTCATTGGCACACGAGGTAACCCTGCAACCCAGCAGCAGTAAGACGCCTCCTGAGAACCCAGGTCTAATTGCTGGCTGCAAACTTCAGAGAGTAATGGAAGTTTTGGACAATGTTCAGAGAAGAACATCAGACAGACACAGACACAGAAACAGGGTAGCTCTGGGGGAGGAAGAGGTAAAGAACACAGCTGCCCTCCCATCCAGAAACACTCCATAAGTCAAGGACTTAGCTCCCTGCAAAAATAAAGGGGGTTGGATGGATGGTTCTAGATGACTGTCCTATAAATCTGCCCTCTAATGTATCATATCAGTTTAGGTCACCAGGAGTATATAGATAAGTATAAGAAACTTCTCAAGGTCACTAAGGCTCTAGAAAGATTACTGAAGTCAACATGGTGTCTCCTGCCCACAAAAGAGCAATAGGTGGATATGAACGGCCGCCTGCCTTTTGTGCAGCAGCAAAGGAGGGGTGTGTATACATAGAGATGTGAGTACCTAAGCAGAGATGTCAACAAAGAGGAGTCTGCTCGGTGACTGGACAGATCACATTAATTGTTTCCAACTTTATTTTATAGCAAGAGAATCCTTTTATCCTAACAAAATTTTTCTTGGAGTTCGAACACAGAAAATTAAAAAGTTGAGATGCCTGGTTGAAGATAGCAAAGTCCCTTACAGGTCCCCCCACCCCCATGCCCATTCACTGTACAGAAAAGGCCCCGACACCCAGAACTCTAGGACTACAGTAGAAGAAACTCAGAGAGAAGACCCCGGGACTGGGGCCCTCAGGCCACGCCAGGGCAGGGGCACAGAATCTTGGATGAACTTTGTTCATCCTGTCTAGCTCATTTCTGAGTTTTCACTCTGAGTGTATCTATGATGAGGGTTACTTGGTGAGAGACATTCAGCTTCCCCTTTTAAGGGCACTTGAACCTCTGGTTTAATTGGTATCTTTTTCATAGAGCTGTTTTTCCACGTTTCCAGGAGCTTATAATAACTCCCTGGATAACATACATACAATTAATGTGGCCAGGGACGACGTTTCTTTTCCCTCCCTTTACCAGGCAGTTGTCTTCCACATTTTTGTACTAGCCTGACTCCAAAAGAGGGCTGGGCGCAGTGGCTCACGCCTGTAATCCCAACACTCTGGGAGGCCAAGACGGGTGGATCACTTGAGGTCAGGAGGCGAGACCAGCCTGGCCAACATGGTGAAATCCCTACTAAAAATACAAAAATTAGCCAGGCATGGTGCCACATGCCTATAATCCCAGCTACTCAAGAGGCTGAGCCATGGGAATCGCTTGAACCCAGGAGGCAGAGGTTGCAGTGAGCCAAGATCACTCCACTGTACTCCAGACTGGGCCACAGAAGTGAAACTCTGCCTCAAAAAAAAAAAAAAAAAAAAAGCAAAAGAGCCACTAAATTCCTGGTTAAAGCAAGTCATCTAAAAATAAGCCCCTTCCTCTGACACATGAGAGGATAAAGCAAATGTAGCAAACATATACAGTGGAATATTCAGCCTTAAAATAAGAAGGGAATCCTGTCACACGCTACAACATGAATTTGGGGACCTTATGCCAAATGAAACTAAGGCAGTCGCAAAAGGAAAAATACTGTATGATTCCACTTATAAGATGCCGAGAATAGTCAAAAGCATGGATACAAAAAGCAGGATAGTGGTTGTCAGGAGCTGAGGAAAGGGGTCGATGGGGAGTTGTTGAATGGACATGGAGTCTCCATTTTGCAAGATAAAGTTCTAGAGATCTGTTACACAACTATGTGAATATAATTAACACTATTCCACTGGAAATGTGCTGAAACTATAAAGACGATACATTTTATATCGTGTGGGTTTTTTTAAAACCTACAGTTAAAAATATTTTTTCTAAAGGCCTTGGGTTACTGGGTACTTATAAGGTTGAAAAAAATCACAGCAGAGATGTATTCAAAGGAAGAATGTCTACAGGTTCGGCCAACTCTCAAATGTGCAGAGGTTAATTTCTAACCTCTATTCTTCCCAAGGCTTGGTAAGCATTTACTGTGTGCCAGATGCTGGAGCTTTCCAGTGTCAGTTTCTCATTTTCCTTCCTACTTTGTCTTTCTAGGAGCCCCTTTCCTGGACATACTAGTGTCTTTCCCAGGAAATCGGAAGAAACAAAAGGATGATGACATGACGCACCTAATAAAGTCTGGGTCTGGAAGTAAGTTTGATCTATGGGTCATTAGGCTGGAGCAGAAGAAAAAAGAAAGGGTTTGGTATGTTCGCCTGCTGTGTGCGTGACGTTACTCATGTGCCTCACCCCAATTTATCACTTCAAATATGACAAAAGCTGAAACTGGGAGGAACTAGTAACTAACTGAAAGTCATCCAAGAAGTAGGTGGCAAGCTAAGATCAAGCCCTACTTGGTGCGAGCTAAGAGTAGCCCTTGGTAGAGCCATGGGTTTGCCCAATTCTTGCCTTTGGAATCTGTTTCCATCTTTATTCTGTTCCCTTCTATCCTGTCAGTTGGACTTTAAAATCTAAGATCAGGAAATTTCCCTTTGTCTATCAAATCATACCCTTTTGAGTGAGTACCTGCTTAGATGAATGTCCCCGAAAACAGACAGGACTCCTCTCTTCTATGACTCCCCAGAAATATTACAAAGATCTGTAGGAAATAGCTCAGAGCAGACCAGAGGAAATATTACAAAGACCTGTAGGAAATAGCTTAGCTTGTACCTTCAAAGGAGACCACCACCCTACATACCATTCAAAACAAACAAACAAACAAACAAACAAAAAACCCTTAAGGCCAGGTGCAGTGGCTCACACTTGTAATCCCAGCACTTTGGGAGGCCAAGACAGGCGAAGCACCTGAGGTCAGGAGTTCAAGACCAGCCTGACCAAAATGGAGAAACCCCGTCTCTACTAAAAATACAAAAATTAGCCAGGTGTGGTGGCACACGCCTATAATCCCGGCTACTTGGGAGGCTGAGGCAGGAGAATCTATTGAACCCAGGAGGCGGAGGTTGTGGTGACCCGAGGACGCACCACTGCAGTCCAGCCTGGGCCACGGAGCAAGACTCTGTCTCAAAACAAACAAACAAAACAAACAAACAAACAAAAAACCCTTAACGGGGTATCCAAAGAAACCACCCCATCCCACTACATGTTTTGGAAACACAGTTCTGACTTGCACTGCTGTGAGCAGCTGACTGAAATGAAAGTGTGCTGCCTAGGTGGGGAGGAAACAGACAGGGTGAATCACTCACTGGGAGCCTGCCACTTCTGGACAGAACCATCTCAGCTGTCCAAACATCAAAGACTGAGTCACAGGGGCCCTAATCTACCAGGGCTGTCTTGTACTTGCCTTCACACAGCTTGATCTTCTCCTCCACAAAGAACAGTCCTTTTGCAAGAAGCTGGTTCTGCCAAAAGAGAATAAAGAACATAAGAGTTTGGGCAACTCCAGAACGTGAGTGATGAACCCTCTTCCACTTCCAGTGGGCAAGGGCACAGAGCTCTAGGCACTTCTGTTCTAGCATCTGAGTTTAAGAAGCCTCTTGTCCTCTTGGAATGCTAAGGCTTCAGAAGACAGTGAGACTTCCCACGGCAAAAGAGCAAGTGAGGTAAGAGGCAACCCGAACCGCCACCCTCATCCCTCAGACCACAGAAGAGGCATGACACAAGCTTGGATGAATTCGCCATTGTTGACACCCAGTGTCCTAGAGGCCCTTCGTGATCTAAACTCACAAAAGGGAGCACTGAGGCAATGGGAAACGATGCAGAAATAACACATTTAAAAAAGAGAGATAAATTTAGTTTCTCACACTAGCATGAAAGAGACTGCGTGCAAAATCTTAAGCAGCAGTGAATATGCATCTGTCAATGCATGTGTGCATGGGAAATTGTGTAAAGAGAAAGTAAAGTCCTCTTGCAACTGCAACTAACAATTGTTGAGTGTGCTGTCTATAGCATACGCTTTATATCCTTCATGTCGTTTAATTCAATCCCATCAAGTTGGTGCTACTGTCCTCACTTTACTGATGGTCAGTGAAGAGACTTGCCCAAGGGAGACAGACCTGGTCTTCCTGGCTCTATAAGCCACATTCTTTCTACTCCACGTTGCTGCCTTCCAGCAAGTCTGCCTACCCAGATCCCTTCCTTCCCTTGAAAGGCTGTAGCTGCTTCCCCTAAGACAGGTGTCCCCAAACTACAACCCGTGGGCCGCATGCGGCCCCTGAGGCCATTTATCTGGCTCCTCCCCTGCACTTCAGGAAGGGGCACCTCTTTCACCGGTGGTCAGTGAGAGGAGCACAGTATGTGGCGGCCCTCCAGTGGTCTGAGGGACAGTGAACTGGCCCCCTGTGTAAAGTTTGGGGACGCCTGTCCTAAGGCATGGGGCAGCCTCTCTGTGAATCCCAATAGCTCAGAGATCAGTGACAGGCTGGTGTCTCTACAGTCATATCACATTATTAGATTACTAAGGCCGATGCTTATGGGAGAGGCAGGGGCAAAAGTGATACATATCTTACCAAAGGATCTAATGCATTCTTTAGCCTTCTCCTTTATAAAACCCTACGACCCTTATTACAATGATAAAAGAAGCGTATGGAGCAGAGTGGAAAGCACTTGGGTATCAGTTCAAGTTCCAGCTCAGCTACATCCTCGCTGTGTGATTTTGTATTTAATTTCCCTGAGTCTCAAGCTCCTCATCTGTAAAATGGCATAATACTAGAAGTACCACAACATTCTTCATTATAATCGTTACAAACACATTCATCATTATAAACACATACACACAGCATTTTATGTCCTTAGTAGTCAGCACTGGTGGTAGCAACAGTAATAGCTGCTATCTCAGCCCAACTTCTTCACAAAACGAGTGCGAGGCCAAGAGTCAGTAGTGAATAGGCCATTATAAAATATACTAATAGAATATTTTATCAAAGTTATTATCCCATTTCTGTAATGGATGCACATAAACCAAATCCATACTCCTATTAAGATTTACAAAATAAGACCTAATTTGAAAAAGTAATTAGACATCATGTGGTTATTTTTTGAGACAGAGTCTTGATTTGTCACCCAGTCTGGAGTGCAGTAATGGGATCTTGGCTCACTACAACCTCCACCTCCCAGGTTCACACAATTCTCCCACCTTAGCCTGCCAAGTAGATGGGATTACAGGTGCCCACCACCAATCCTGGCTAATTTTTGTACTTTTTTAGTAGAGACAGGATTTTACCATGTTGGCTGGGCTGGTCTCGAACTTCTGACCTCAAGTGATCTGCCGGCCTTGGCCTCCCAAAGTGCTGGGATTACAGGCGTGAGCCACTGCGCCCGGCCACTATGTAGTTTCAAGATGGCAGCTAGAACCCCAAATCAAAGTTACAGTGACACCATATAGGAATACACCAACTTTGTTAAAGAAAAAAAAAAGCAGTTCCTCACAAAGGATTACGAAACACACAAGCAGTAAAGGCGAGGCCCTAACCTGTTCTTTAGCTTCCAGCCAAGTGCGTGAATCCCGGTGGCTGGGTCATGGCAAGACTTGCTGGGTCAGAAAGCAAGAAAATACCCCAGCACCAAATCAACATCTTGTGACAGCTGAGCCGGACATGAGTGGTCTGTGGAGGTGTGTTCAGATGGCAGCCACTCCACCAGAATGCTTCTGAGCACAAATCTCCATGGTGCCCTGCAGTCTATGCTGGTTGTTCCCTTTCACCTAGCCCAGGTGAGGTTCTCAGAACGTCCCGTTAGCGTTCTATACATGGGCTCCTGAATGCCATTCTTCTGAGTACCTCTAGTCTCAACACTGATGTTCCAGGCTCCTACTAAAACAACTTTCCTAACCCTCCCTAATTTCACGTTTCTGAGATGCACCTACAGAGGTAATAGAGATCGCCTCTGTGATGCAATTTTCATCATTTTGTTCTATTGCTATAATTATCTACATGGGAGGAGGTTAGGGGGAACTGAGGCATTGACAGAAATAAAACCTAGTCCAGGTGATAGCATGAGTTAACAGAAATTAATTCAAACCATTCATTAGTTAGAATTGTAGGTAATTAGGAGTGCAGGTCATGTCTTATTTAAGTTAGTACCCTTGGCTCCTGGTATCATACCTAGAACATAGCAGATACCTAATAAATATTTGATATATATATATACATTCTGACTATTTTAGTGATAAAGATCATTTTTTATTTTTAAGAAGCCAAGATAAAAAAAGACAGAATATTTTTAAGAGGAATAAGTGCTACAGGGTCTCTAAGTTTGTTGCCGTTTTCTTCATTTGAATTAGAAAATCATTTGAAAATTACATTGTCCCTATCCTTAAGGAATAAACCTCAAAACACGGCCTGGATTTTCCTTTCTTCTCCTTTCTAGGTCTTCTCCCTTCAAGGAGACACTAGAAAAACAATCTTTCATATATATTTTCAAAGAAAAGTACTTATTCCTATATTATGGGGAAATGATAAAGAAAATATTCTTTTACAACTTCTCACAGTACACAGCATGGAAATTCTATAGCTAAGATCAAAATAAGAGAAACACAAACTTAAGGTTAGAAGGGGCCTTAAGAATCACCTAGACATTCGCTCCTTTCCCCAGTCCTATGGTCAAAATCAATTGGTCACATACATTTTGATGATTTTTAGTGTATCAATTTCCATTTTCCAGCAGGCTAAGGCATCTTGAAAATCCTTATATAACCCCCTGCCCCCAGGAGACTCTCGATTTTGCTCTTATAGTTGTATAAACTGAAGGTAGAAGTGGGGCCTCCCTCTCCAAAATTCCAGTAAAAGACATGAGAGTGAGGCTCAGTCTCTCCACTACTCACCTTTTATTCAGCACACACTATTAGAGTAAGGATCCCTCGGATTAGCCAAGCCCAGGCCCCTCTTCACTGGGGAACCACCAGCATCCACCCAATGGAGCTGTGCCCATTCATTCAGGCCCCATTCACGCTGCACATTCCAGCTTTGCTAATGGGTCTCAAACTGAGCCCCAGGTCTCCTCTGTAGGGAATTCGGGCCCCAAAGGGTCTTGCATTCTTAAGGGCCTAACACTCTGAAGGCCTCCACTTGCAACCGGGTTCTCTGCAGTTGCAATCTTTGACTCTCCGCGTTTTTATCTTTGAATTTGTGTTTTATAAGTGGAGTTGGAAGGGATAACATCACATACACTGGGGTCTGAAGCCTCAGCTCACTCATAGTCCTCCTCCTCACCATCTCCTCAAGAGGGATTTTCGGGCCCCTACGCCTCACCCCTAGTGCCTGGGCTCCACCACCAACATCACCCTACTCCCAAGGTGCTCACAGGGTCACGTGGGTGAGGGCCTCTGCACCAGTACAGGGAGAGTCAGGACCGGGCATGCGCCCTGCAGCATCTTGGGGAGAGGCGTAGTGCCAGCCCTCCTGCACTCCCTGGACTGCCAGTGCTGTAGTGCAATTGCTGCTGACTCAGCAGGGACCTCTCACCCACCCTCCATCTAGATACCAAGAGTGACCAGTGCAGACGTGCAATCTCTTAGGGTTACCCGCCCATTATGAGCTGCAGTGGCAGGCCTATGGGAAGGGGAGATTGGCATCCCCATGCCAGTCTGGTTAGTAGAGTGATTTTAGAAGAAGCCACTGACACCAGTGTTGACATTAGTAGTGAGAAGAACGGCATTCAGGAATCCTTGCACAGAATTCTGAGTAGCCACGTTTCTTCTGCACTGGGCTCTGCAAATTATGAAGCTCACCCTGTCACTTCACCTGAGAATATGCCAACTTGACATCTGTGGGGCTTAAGCCTGCTCAAATGGGTTGAAGGCAGGGCAAAACCCAGCCTGGACTCAGGCGGCCATCTTGTAGTGTTTGTCCTTCCCAAGTGTCCGGTCTTCCCGGACCTCACCTCACAGAATTCCCACCCCCTGATGAATCCCTGACTCCAGAAGCTTCTGAGCATTTGCTGGCTGCTGAGCTGGAATGATGGAGCTGTCTGGTACCAGAGCTGGAGAAGACCCGTTTCTCTTGTCCCACTCCTTGCCCGATGGCACCAACCCCACCACCTCCCCAGGTGGAACACTAAGCCAAAAGTAGTTACTAAGTAGTAGCCACCCAGGAAGCGACTCGGGACTTGGAACTGGGCCCATCGTTACTTAATGCATCCTCTCCTGACCCCATAAATGAGCTTGGACACAGTCTAAGTCACACTACAATGAAGTGACAGAGGAGACGGAAGTGAAAAAGAAAAACAGCTGACATATCTATTTTTCCTAAGACATAGAAAAACAGGCTACAGACAGAAACATGAGGCTTAGCTAGGAAAAATGTAAACAAGATGGTTGGGGAAAGCCAAATCTTCAGTGGACACCAAAGACTCAGCTTCTCCTGGGTCATTGCAGAGGGCAGGTTCTGGAGTGAGTGGGCAGAAC